GCCCTGCTCCGCGCCCCTAACGTGGAACGTGAGGCTGTTGGCGGCGATGTGCTAACGGGAGCCCGTGCGGGACCCTGGCGCACGGGGGACGCGGGACCCATCGCCCTGTCCGCTTCACCGGGACGGGCCGAGACCTCCCTCCTTAGCCTGATGCAAAGACATGCCAGGCGGTGTCCTAACCGCCAGGGCGGACCTTATGTCCCATCTGTCGCCCCTGCTGGAGAGGTTGTAGTCGGGGGAGACCAGACACTCCATAACCGGTGTCTTAGTCCCGAAAAGGGGCTACAGCTTCTCAGGTGCTGTTGCTGGAGGCACGGGCAGTGGGCAGTGTGCCTTCCTAGGAGGGTGGATTCTTCCAGGCAGAGGCATTGGGGCTACACTCGGAGGGGACCTTGCGGGGTTCACCCACCCCGTGAATTTCCAGGGCTGTGATCAGTGTCCCAGAGGGACGGTCCCTCTTCGGTCAGGTCTGTCCTAGACGACACTGGGGTGCTGCTGGTGCCCCCACATTTTTTTTTCTCCCAACGATTTTCATCTTAGTCATCTTTAAAGGCAGGTTTGCAGTTCTTGGCAATAAGTTGGTATTTACTGGCTACAAGTCAACAGGTTGGTGGAACAGCCAGCATCCTCATTCCTGTGACTTAATTATCGGGTGGCACGGTGTCGTGGAAAGCAGACCTCATTAATTGGCACCTCTGTGGGTGTCGCAGGTGTGCAGAGAACACACTTTTGCTGAATAGGGACATCTGGGACCTGGGTCTCTAATGATCTGCTTCTCCGGAGTTTAGTAAGACGTTGCTCAGTCAAATGTTGACCCTCTCGACCTGCAGCCGTCTGCTCCGGGCAACAGGAGTTGAGAGAAGGGGCTCAGTCTCCCTGGGCCCTGCCCCAGCGGACGGTGCCGTCTGAGCTCGGCTGGCTGGTCTCCTAGGCCTCTCCCTTTGTGTTCTTAGCCAGCGACCCCTGACTGTGACCGTACAGCTCTGGGGAAAGCTTTTGCACTCCTCTCTGCACCTGCACCCTTGGGCGCGGGGCCTGCCGTCTCCGTACTTGAAGCAGCTGACAAAGGTCATTTCTTGGGAATGGTCCTGACAAGACCCCGGTCGCCCTCTCTGTCCCACACGCTCGCCCTCCTATTTTTTCTTATTTCTTTGGCTGCTACTTTCGCTAGAGAGAATCATTTTGTGCTTAAGACAACTCACTGGGGACATGCTTAAATCGGCCCCTTTGGGCCTTTAATTTCCCACAACCCCGAGCAGAGTGCTAGACTTGGAGTCACGTGGGTACAGCGCATTCTGAACCTGGCCTTCCCAGTCCAGTGCCTACGCGCACGCTAGCAGTGACTGTCACAGCCCAGAGCCTCTGCGTTTCTGGCACCAAAGCTGAGCTGTGTCACTGAGTATTCTGAATCCCGGCCCAGCACTGGCACCCAGATTCCTGTAGGTATTTAAAGGGGGGAAGACATTGGAGTCAAAAGACGGAGGGGTTACTGAAGGAAACTATTTCTGAAGGCGTTTTTCCCCTGGGTTTTTGTAACTGTGTTATATAATGTGTGTTGTATTTCTATGGAGAGGGGCACATTGAGTTCTTATTTCAGAAGTCTTAACTTTTGGTGTTGGCTATTTCCCCTCTCATTTGCAGGTAACGTGACTTTGGGGACGGAAGTTGGATGACGCAGGCGGCTGAACATCTCTGTGTGGAGCGCACGTTATGAACCCTTTCTGGAGCATGTCTGCAAGCTCTGGACGCAAAGTAGGTACAGCTGATATATGCGGTGAGGAAACCGTTTGCATAAGAACAGAGGCCAAAAGAATTCATACTCGGGTTGCCCGGTAATCTTAACAAGATCATCTGGTTTTTCTAGTTCAGGCTTTACTTTTGAGAACCAATTATTTTGTGGATTAAAGTTAGTTTCTGAGACGGAGGTCGCATCTCCAATAGAAATGACGTGGGTAGCACTGAGTAGGACTGTTTGGGTAGGCGATGCTGACATGTGATGACTGTCACACATCCCTGCAGTTGCACATCTCCCTGAACCTCGAGATGCCGTGGGTAGGAAAGCCTTGGGAAAGGCCAAGTCCGGCTCGAGGCCGCTGGTTTAATTTTTCTAAATAAAATGTCTATTTTTAGTGGCAAAAAATAATACATTTTAGGAAAGCCGAACGTACGCAAAGACAAAACACATATAATGCATAATCCCACCGCTCTGAGGGCACCGCTGCTCATCTTTTTTCTAGGCACATGACATACATTTAAGGCAGTAATTAAACGGCCAGACGGTAGTTTCTCTTGACTCCCCTAGGCCTCTCTCTCTACTGTGGACGATGGTTTATGCGGGGGAGAGTCCAACTGTGGGAACGTATGCATTAGGGACAGGATCACAGTCGGACCCATGGCAAGTGAGAGAACAGCTTCCTTCCTGTTTCTAACCCGAGCGCTAATGTCAGGCAGTGGCTCACTTCACTCATCGCTGGTTTCTGAGCTGCTGAGCACCTGACCTGCAGCATTGAGCTGCTCGGGGACGGTGCTGGTCTTGCAGAGTTGTCTAACTGTTTAGTAACCCCCGGCCCTCTTTTGGGGGCCCCCAGGAAAAATCATTTCTTTCTTTGTTTCACTTAAATCTCGTGAATATTGGCTTCCTGGTCTCTATAGGACGCAGCCAACAGGAGTTTGCTAATGTGTTGGTCTTGCTTCAGCTCTGTTCTGCTCTGGATAAGGGCCCTGCACAAAGGCCTTTCGAGTCATCTCGGCCCTGGTGCCAGGATGTCCTTGCAAAAGAGCAATTCCAGCTTTTAGGTCAGCGACTGAGTCCAGCACACACACTCCTGTGGTTTAAGAATCATCCTAACAGATGCTCTCCCCACTTCGTCCTGAATAGCGATCTGACGGGGAAGAGAAGACAGTGACGGGGGACGGGAAGACCAGCCCTCCACGCACGGCTCCAAAGAAACAGCTGCCTTCTATTCCCAAGAACGCTTTGCCCATCACGAAGCCCACGTCTCCTGCCCCAGCAGCACAGTCAACCAATGGCACGCACGCTTCCTACGGCCCCTTCTACCTGGAGTACTCCCTCCTTGCAGAATTGTAAGTTCTTATAGCTGTTTGGTTACGTTTTGAATGATTCTGGAAGGTAAAGAGTGAAATGTACTGTGATGGACTGGGCTCACTTAGTGGCCATTTAATCTCAGCTCACACTCACCTCTGCAGTGTCAGCCTTGATATTTACAGAGGGAGGCTATGGCAGGCAGTATGGCCTTTCTAACCAAGGCCTAAGGACTGTCATATGTTCTCGCAAATGTAATGGCTCTCATTCAGATCTTGGGTAAATAGGATCTGAAGGCAAATGTGTGCTTTGATTTCCACGCCTGTTTGGAGAGCATGAAGGGGGAGAAAGGAAGCTTTAGTAAGTACAGATAGCAGGTCAGGGACTTAATTTTGTCTTCCTTCCCAGGAAGTGAGGCATTCACCTCCTGAGAGGTCATGGAGGATGGGACAGTGGGAGGGTGGCCATCTAGCCTTCCCCGGGGCAGGCCCCGCTGAAGGCTTTGTGCTGTGTTCTGGGGGTCACCTTGTGAGAGGCCCCCCGAGCACGAGGAGGCGGTCCCAGTAGGCGGGGGTGGGAAGCCAGGCCCTGGGAGGCAGTAATGAAGGAACTGGAACTGGTCAGTTCAGAGAAGGCCTGTCACTAGAAAGGGGATTTGACTTCTCCTGTGTGACCTCCCAAAGCTGAAGGAGGCGACACCAGGACATCATAAAGGTGTGGGCCCTGCGCAGGAAGGGGCTGACTGGTCGCAGAAACCAAGGTTGGACTGCGGTTGCACGTGCGCGGGTGCGAGGAGGTGATGGCGCAGCGCCTGCCTACCACGGGCTCCCACAGTGACTGAGAGCAGGTGGCACTTGATTAAATAATCTGTCCCAAGGGCGAAAGTGTGGAGAATTCTTAGTTTCAATTATTTAGCAATTCCTTAGCACACAGCACTTTGATACCAACTGAGCTGTCTGTGTCCTAGCCTAGTGTCGCAGGCGTGCGCTGTGTGCTGATAACTAGGTTGAACAAGTGCCGTAGTAAAGCAAAACTCTGAGTCTCTAAGCCCAGTGTGTAAGACACTGAGTATAAATCGGTGGCATACCTGGAAAAAAGACAATAAAATTCCTTTGTACATGCAGTTATTTTAAAGGTACCCCTGAGCCCTCCGTCCCAGCGCCCATGTTGTAAGGGCAGAGGGGCTGAGCCGCTGTCTGAGGGCCGAGTGTGATGTGGTGGCAGGGGCCCCGCAGGCTGTGTAAGGGGCCTTGTGCTGGAGGCTGGGCAGTGCGCTAGACAGGCTTCCATTGTGGCACTGAGCCTTCTGTCTGCGCAGAGCACACAACGGCCCTCTGGCAAACTGTACTGCGGTAGCTGCACCTGTCAGTCACGCTGCTGTGGGCGCGCTCAGTGTTGGTGACTTAAAAGGAGTGACTGCTTTCAAGTCAGGCAAATAGGTAATAAACTGTCAGCGAAGGTCCACGGTGCTACTCCACACTTACAGCTCACAGCCTGACTTGTCTGGGCTCATGGCTCCGTTGCAAGGAACAGCCCGGCATGGCTGGGGTGGGACGAGGTCCCAAAGAGCCCGAGCAGCCTGTGTCTGCCCTGTCTGCGCACCCACCGCTTCCCACCCCGGGCCCAGAGGGTGTGTCTGCGCCGCGGGGTCAGTGAGAGCAGAAGCACACCGCGGACAAACCTACAGATGGCCTTCTGCCCAGGGACGGGTCACACTGAAGGCATCACCTCCGTGAGGGCACTGGCATGGGACTTTATTCTTAATTTCCTAGCGCTGGGTATAGTGGCTTTTGGATGTGTGCGGGTGAGCTCTGCTGTGCAGTCACAGCAGCAGCACCGTGACCAGTCCTCTCATCTACCTCCAGTTCAATTTCTGGGATGATGTTTGGGGGAGGTGGGTTTCTGGGAGGAAAACTTGATTCTTAGTGTGTCCCTGTGTTTGGCTTGAATTTCTTAATCTGGGCTCTTGGTGGTGAAGCCAGTAGAGGGCAGCCGCCGGGGCCAGGTGCGGGGCTGGGATGACTGGGCCTGTCGGGTTAGGGCCTCGGCTGCCCCTTGAGGGACTGTTTCTCCCAGAACAGGACCGGGGGTGGCTGGTCGGTCACTGACCTCCGCCCGGCCCTGCTCTGCTCTGTTGCAGCACCTTGCTGGTGAAGCAGAAGCTGCCGGGAGTCTACGTGCAGCCGTCTTACCGCTCAGCGCTAGGTAAGCACATTCTCTACAGCGGCAGCACGTTTGGTGCCTCTGACGCTAGGCCTTAACCGCGCTTGCTTCTCCTGCAGTGTGGTTTGGAGTGATCTTCATTCGGCACGGACTGTACCAAGATGGAGTATTTAAGTTCACAGTGTACATCCCTGATAACTACCCGGACGGCGACTGCCCAGTAAGTGGGAGCTACAGCCTGGCTCCGTGCGCTGGCCAGTGAGGCCCACAGGGCCTGAAGGTGTCTGGGTTCCTTTCCTGACCAGCCACTTTGCTGATGGTTCCTAAGATGTCTGTCTGCTCCTTGGGCTCTGGGGGGAGGGCCTGTGCCTCGCTGTGTCCTTTGCCCCGTCAGCCTCCACCTGGAGCTGCGCCTGTGCTCTGGCAGCCACGCCGAGGCTGACTCCGCACTCGGGGTCGTGGTGCTGGGTAGAGCACCCCTCCCTGCAAAACTTCATGGCGCAGGACAGTGGGGAGAGTAGTTAAGTGCAGCCCCTGGCACGACTGCCTTGTCCGGACACTCTTCCTCCCACCGTCTGTGGGCCCATTGCCTCCATGGCTCCCACTGAAAGCTACGTCTCTCTCCCCATACAGCGCTTGGTGTTTGATATCCCCGTCTTCCACCCGCTAGTTGACCCCTCCTCAGGTGAACTGGATGTGAAGAGAGCATTTGCCAAGTGGAGGTGAGTGACTACGTGTTTCCTTTAGTGACAGAGTCAGTGGGACGCCTAAGTCACGCGCCTGTCTCCCTTAGGCGGAACCACAACCACATCTGGCAGGTGCTGATGTACGCGAGGAGAGTGTTCTACAAGATCGACACGGCGAGCCCCCTGCACCCCGAGGCTGCGGTCCTGTAGGTCACTGCTTTACTTCAGCTAGCTCTGAAAATGCAGCCAAGGAGAGCGCGTGGGTAACTTTCTGACTTACACTTTTAACACAGGTATGAGAAAGATGTTCATCTGTTTAAAAGTAAAGTGGTTGACAGTGTGAAGCTGTGCACGGCCCGCCTGTTTGACCAGCCTAAAATAGAAGACCCCTATGCCATTAGGTAAGTGGTTCCTACCTAGACAGACCGCACCTTGCAGCCCTGTGCTCCCTCCCATGGTCCAGGGGCACTTAAACTAAAATGGGGAGTGAAAGGGAAGTTGTATCACCTGTTAGCCAACAACCCTGATTACTTGTAACAGATTTCAGACACCCCTTCGGCTCCTTAAACAAAAGACTTTCCATCGACAGGCACGTTGTGCCAGTGGTGAGCTATTTAGTGACTCTGGGTTCCTGAGGACCCTGTAATGTGCTGTTTCAAGTGTCAGTGTCAGCAGGAGCCCCTCTGAAACAGCCACAGCCCCTCTACGTTCAGATGTGGCGAGGGCGGGAAGCTGCATAGGGGAGAGTGACTAGAGTGGGACAGTGGGTGCTGGAGCTCTGTGACACTTGACCTTGGGGCCGAGTGGCGGGAGAACAGACCTGAAGGATGGGTGGTTTAGCGCTCCGCACACTGGTGCTGGGGAGGCAGCGTAGCGCAGTGGGTAAAGGCTTGGGCTCTGCAGACGGAGTGGTTGGCTTTGTGACTGGAACAATTACTTGCTTTTCCGGTGCCTCAATAACAGTACCTCAGGGGTTGTTTCGAGGCTTAAATGAGCTAACCCGGGGAAAGTACTCTGCAGAGCATGGTTATCATGTGAGAAAATTATTTAGATAACGCCTAAAACTTACACGTCGACAACTGATTAAAGCCTTTTCTTTAAATCCTTATTGGGTTTTGTTATGGCAACTGGCTTAAGTATTAAAAAACATGTTCCGCAGATTTAGTAAGCCAAGCAGTTTTTAAATCTTTTTCTCTTCCTTAAGCTTTTCTCCATGGAACCCTTCTATACACGACGAAGCCAGAGAGAAGATGCTGACTCAGAAGGTGAGTAGCTGGCCGTCTCTGAGATGGCTACTTGCTGACCCCTTTCTAAGCTCACTCTGCACAGACACCTGTGGGGAGGCGGGTTTGCACAGTGCTGACATCTCATCGGTCACTTTCTGATGCCTGTTTTGATTGTGCCTAGAAGAAGCCTGAAGAACAGCACAATAAAAGTGTTCACGTGGCCGGCCTGTCCTGGGTAAAGCCTGGCTCCGTACAGCCCTTCAGTAAAGAAGAAAAAACAGGAACCACCTAGGAGCGGGACTGCGGTGACTGGTGCACCAGGCACTTTCCTGCGGACGCAGGCCGAGGCCAGGCTGACGGCGGCCAGGACTGCTGCGAGTAAAGTGTGCGAACGAGGACTGGCGTCAGTGGTGTCCATATGCGCTAGGTTCTAACAGCAAGTTCTGGAAACCTCTCTCTAAGTAGCGCGTTATTACTTCTGTCAGAAGTGTCTTTAGGGTGGTTATCTAGTTCAGTACTCCAGATTATTGGGGACCTTGAGGCTTAAGTATTTTTCTGAATATAATGCTAAAGGTAAGTGGCATTCATTTGGAACTACTAGAGTAGACAGAGTTTAGCACTACGGAATTATTTTTAAATGGGTGTCTCAGTTGTACATACGTTAGGAAGTGGAGAGGAAAGGTGTAGAGAAAGCAGGTTCTTTAGCATACTAGCACTTTCAGCAGGAGACCACCTGACTCTCAGTCTTCAGCCCACTGTCTTACTGATTTACGAATCGCTACCAGGTGCATGTTAGGGGAGTGAGGAGGCCAGAACACTGGTTCATAGTTTTTGTTTTTTTTTTTAAAGCAAATTACTTACTGTATTTTTATGGCAGGAGGGAGAAAAAGTGTTAGAACAGTTTCTAATGAAGTCAAATATTTAAGTGATGAATGACTAATGTGTTTTGTAGAGACAAAATAAACCAATAAATGATGGTTCTTTGTCATTTATGCAGGAAACTAAATACCCTTTTCTCAGTATAACTGAACAGAGATTAATTTATAAATGCTTTATTGAAAAATACACTTATTTTCATATAAAATTACAGTAGCAGTAAGTATCTGGAGAGGTTTTATAAATATTTTTGCAGAACACTATTCTAACTGAACAGTGTAATTAAAGTTCCATATTTCTTTCAGAGCAATATGAAGTTACCTAGTAACTTTGTTTATACTGATTCAATTTACAATTGAATTTTCTCCCTAATATTATTCAGTCAACTTAAAAACTGCTGGAACAATACTGATTAATAAAGTTATATATAGATACTTCAATAGCTGTTAAATAACCTTTTCTAATTTGTATGACTGGTACTATGTACTCAATGAAAACCTAAACTCTTTTTTTAAACTGCCAGGAACATACCAAAAGATAGTTTAAAATGTATCACCTTAGTAGACACATGTCTTTTGGAAAACTACCTCCTAAAGGAAGAGGCCATAATTTTTCATATTAATTTCCTTAATTCAACTTGATTTAAAAATCTTCACTTAGCCAGCCGATCCCTATTAATAGGGGGGAGGGGGGGAACCTGGAAAATTTAAAATACGTGCCCCAAAGGTGGCTACTGGGGCTTTAACAGTTCTAAAAACATACAAAAGCATCAAAGAGGACGTTGAGTGTTTAGCCTAGCAGTTTTGTACTTAATAAAAGTTCACATTGTAGAAAGTGCCATCACAATATACAGCAAAACCTAGATTACGAAATCATGCTTTTTACAGCCCAAAAGTGCCACTTCTTACACAACTCACGCACACCACACACCAAACACGCAAGCACCTGCCACGCTGCACCACACCTACGGGAGGGAAGGATACACACAGGGACCGGGAGACGTGGGCCGGGCCCTCTCCCTTGTTAAGTTTCAAAAATGCAAAATTCGCACACTCCTACCAAGTGTTTTAGGACAGAATACCTAGTTTTTGTGTTGCTTTTCAGGAGCGCCAGAGCAGACCACAAACAGGTAGGAATGGACTGAAACAGCCCTCTGCTGGAGGGTCAGCAGAGACCGCACACGTTTCAGCATGCTTTGTTCTCTACAATACCTGTAAAAGCTTTGCCAAAGAGTTAACAAATCCCAGACTGGTTTCTAAGCCGCCTTGACGGCAAGCACTGAGTGGTAGGAAAAAGGCAGATGGGAGGAGTAAAAATAAGGATATTGGAAAGAGTAAGGAAAAGAGCCCCATAATCTAGCATGCATTAGATGATGCTGTTAAACAGTTTGTGAAAGGAGTTTCAATACAACAGACTAACCTCAGTGGGAACCTCGGTCATTAGCTACATCTTGGAGACGGCGTATTAAGGCAGTATGATTTTCTGGGCAAATTCTTTTGGCAGGCGATTCACTTCCATCTTCCAAAAGAATCCCTCTCTTTTTGGTTGGAGTTTCTCCTGTCCGTATCATACTGTTAATTTCTCTTAGTCTCTAGAGCGAGGGAAAAACAGATATAAAAACTTGAAAACCCGAATACACACAATGCGTTGTTAAGGCAAAGAACCTCAAATGAGTTAAGTGGTTTACCTTGAGGAGTTTGAACATCTCCATGGAGAAAAGAACTACTGAGCTACCCAGCCTCCCCATGTCAACCTCTCTGCTGGCTGAGCCAATGACTGGGCGGAGAAGGAGGGCTTAATAAGCTCCGCAGATGGAGTGGACGGACACTTTTCCAAAATGCAAGAGCTGACACATTTGTGATTTCTTTCTACGGTAGTTATAGATCATGACATTGTTGATAACTTAATCAATTCCATACATCCCCATTCTCCTTTTTTAAAAAATAGCATGCTTTTGCATTGTATTGTGCCGATTTTTTTTTTTAAGTCTAGCAGCCATTTTCAACAGGAATTTCACAAGAGAAGTAAGCCTTAATTCCCTAAAGCATCCTTTGTAAGTAACTTATTGGTATGATCTGGAATGTCATAGTTACTTGTTCTCCTTGGAAGATTGAGAACAGTTGGGCAAATTCTCTGCGAGGAACGCCTCCTGAGGAAACACTGCCTGGTGCTGGAGACCAGATCGGTTCTCAGCGCCTTCAGCGAGCAGTTCCTCCAAAGCCCCAAAGTCAGTGTACCCCACTCGTTTCTGGTCGTGTTTGGTTAAAGGGTTTTTTCATGTGCTGCCTCCTTGCCCTTGTTTCCTGTTGGAAAGCACATGAGCATATATGTTCACATGCACTTCCTAGAGGAAACGGGCTTAGACCTTCCGTGTCTGTGTGGATCACCCGCACTGCATGCAGTACTCTCCAGTATGTGGCGTGGTTTAATCCCTCCCAGCTGTTCGGTGCTGTAAGCGATGCTACCATGCTGATTGTTCAACAAGCTGCACCTGCCCTGACCAGTGTCACTCATGACCAGTCATCTTACTTGATATCACTTTGTAATATTCGTCCTTGATCTCCGTTATCACCTAGTAAGTCATGATGACAAATACTTCTCCAACCAACAGTCTAATACTGCTTTCATTTGTTGGAGAAACTCCCAATTCTGTGCTACAGTTTTTTCTGGCACCTTCCAGTTGGTGATCATGGACAAGCAGGATTGAAAGTCACAACTCCTGGTAAGTGTACAGTTCTACACGTTTAACAAATACACAGCCATGTAATCACCACGGTAAAGATAGAAAACAGTTCCTTCACTCCAGGAAATTCCCTCGTAGTCCCAGCTACCCCACCCCAAGGCAGTCACTGATGTTCTGTCCCTACAGTGTCCTAGACATGGAATCAAGACAGGAAGTGGCCTGATGAATGAGTGACTTCCACTTAAGCATTAATGCCCTAGAGGTTCATTTTCGTTGCTAAGCGTATCAGGGCTTTTTATTGCAAAGTAGTACTCTGCTGAGTCTACTACCCAGGTCTGTTTACCCATTAACCAGCTGGAGGACACTGGGGTTGTTTTCTCCTGTCTGGCAAACAGGAATAAAGTCATAAGCGTTCATGAGCATGTTTTGCATGAACCTAAGTTTTCATTCCACATGGGTAAATCCCTAGGAGTGAGGATTACTGGTTATATGGTAAAGGTATGTTTAACTCTATTTTCCAGGTATAACGTCTCTGCTATACCATTCTGTATTCTGACTAGCAATATAAGTTCCAATCGCTCTACATCACTGCCAGCGTTTGTTGTCATTAAGATTTTAGTCATTTTCATAGGCAGATAATAGGTGAAGTGTGTTAAAATCTTTTGCCCATTTTTAAATCTGGTTTTCCTTTTGAGTTTTGATAATCCTTTACATACTGTAGGTACAAATCCTTTATCAGCTATGAGATCTGTAAAATTTTCTTCCAGTCTGTGGCTTGTTTGTCTATCTTAATTTTGATCACCTAATGTGTCAGTCTTTTATAGATTGTGCTATTGATGCTGTATCTAAACCCATGTTCACAAAGATTTGCTTCTATGGTTTAACTTTTAAGTTTCATAGTTTAGGTCTGTGGTTCATTTTGAGTTAATTTTTTGTTTATGACACAGTGTCTGGGTGCAACTTTACTATTTTTGAACATAAGTATCCAATTGTTTCAGCACCAACTATTGAAAAGGCTATCCTTTCTCCATTGAATTGCTTTTGCACCTTTGTTGAAAATTAGTTGGCCTTTTACACAGTGGGGCAAAAGAGGTTTACAATTGGTCATATGGAAAATAATACAATAAATAATAAGCATAAACTGCATACTCACAACTGTAAACCTACACTTGCCCCACCTGAATGTGTGGTCTGTTTCTGGATTCTGTTCTATTGATCTGTTACTCCACTTTCACCAGGACCACACACCGTCTTGATTACTGTGGCTTTAAAGTAAGTCTTGAAATCAGACAGCGTGTTTCATTTTTCCAAAATTGTTTTAATTATTCTAGTTCCTTTGCATTTTCATGTAAGTTTTGGAACCAGTTTAACTTATATAAATAATTCTGCCAGAATTTTGACAGGAATTGGGGTTGAATTTGTAGGTCAAGTGGGAGAAAACAGATCTTGATGTTTCCAGTTCCTGGACATGATATATATCTCTCCATTTTCTCAATCTTTAACTTCTCTCACCAAGATTCTGTAGTTTTCAGGATACGAATCTTGCACATCTTTTCTCAGACTTGACTGTAAGTGTTAAGTTTTTAATGCTGTGTATAGTGTTTAAAATTCTTTTACTTCTACTTACTCGTTGCTGGTATATAGAAATACGTATATTTGATTTTTGTATGTTAATTATGGAACTTTCCTAATCTTTAGTTCCAGTAACTTTTTGTAGATTATGATTTTTCCGTGTAGAAAACTATGTTGTGAATGGAGACAGTTTTCTTCCTTTTCCATCACGTATGTCTTCTCTATCTTGCCTTATTGTGTCTGACAGGACCTACAGTTACAATGTTGAATAGGAGCGGTAAGAGCAGAGATCCTTGCCTTCTTCCTGATCTTAGAGGGAAGGCATCCAGTCTTTTACCAATAAGTATGAGGTTAGCGATAGATTTTAAATATATATATCTTCTTTATCAGGTTGAGGAAGTCCCCTGAGAGTTTTATCATGAATGAATGTTGGATAGGGCTATTAAAACTACTTCCTTTTTACTGTTTTAGAAGTTTGTCTTTCAGGGAGTAAGTTCATTTCATCTGTATTATCACATTTATTGGCACAAAGTTGTTTTTTTATCCTTCCTACTTAGTCTATACAGAGATGTATCTTTTTTATCTTCTCAAAAAAACCAAAACCTTTAACTTTTAATGGCTTTTATTTTCTCTATTTTCAGTTGTTTATTTCATTGATTCCTGCTCTTTCTCAAGTTGCTTAGTCACTAACTTGAGACCTTTTTTCTTCCTATATAGGTATTTAGAACTATAGTTTTTCCTCTTAGCACTGTTTTTGCTGAATTTCACAAATTTAGATATGTTGATTCAGAAATACACAATTTAGTTTCCAAAAATTTGGGGATTTTCCAGAGAAAATACATTATC